CATGCCGAGCTGTGCTTCCGAGGGGTGTCGATCCGCAYGCCGGCACACGAGCGGACACCGGGATCTCACTGTGCTCGTGGTCCCGAGCGCTGCGGAACTGCTGCCTTCCTCCTAGGCTGCCTGAGACAACAGCTGCTCCTGACTGTCCCTTCAATCCAAATCACGCATGAGATTCACAAGTTGTATGGGTGGGAAGGAGCTGCCCCTACCACGCACCACACCGGGGTTCATCCCGACTGGATGAACCACACAAAGGTGTTCTACATGGAAATGGGACATTGCGGCTCTGATGAATTCCTCCACCTAGAAAAAGTCAAAAAATCCAAYGCCCTTACCCACCCAATTTGTTGCAATGGCTTGTTTGTGGGTTCAAAGCGCTCCTTACCATAAAGCAACCTTTGACTTTCAGTAGAAATGCTTTACATACGTAAAGATTATCAACATGGTTTTCCAGACCAAAGGAACAGAAATTTAGGTTAATTTAATAGAAAAAATAAAATATGGAATAACATTGATTTTGGCCAGTATCAATTACAACAGAACTACCCTATTTTACAAATAACAACTGAACATTTTACACATGTACAGTATTTTTTTTCAGTAAAAATGAATTTGGATTTAACAATGTGTCAGTTTTTTAAAAGAAAACAAAGATATTAATTTCTTCTCTATAATAGCGTTAGAGTCATTTGTAAGTATCCAAACAAATTCTTTACAATCCATTACATAATTAAATCTCAATTATGAATATATATTTATATATAATATATATAATATTAACTTAAACTTTGAAAGCATTATGTTCTAGTTAGTTAATAATAATGTTATATTGAGAAATGAGGCAGTAACAGACTAGTAGTTAAACTAGCACAAATTAAATTCTCGTAACTTTGAATGTTTATTAGGAAATTTGTTAACGGGCACCAAAGGAGCTTCACAGGTTCTGTGTCACACAGAACCCGGTGTGAGTTGTAATCCTTTATCTGCTGTCTGGCAAAAGGAGCATATTGTCTCTTCTTGTTTCGTACCCATTCATTTGTAAACCTTCCACAAGCATTTCCACATATAAAAAGGACAGCCTTTTTATTTTCTAACAYTTATATACTTAAACACCAGCAATCCACCTCCTACTTGTGTGTCCTGGAAAGATAACTGAGAGAGACACTTTGCACATTTTAGGCATTTTCCCCCCCAAAACAGTATCTCTGAAGTTCAATTTGCTGTCTTTTGCTAAACGAATGGCTTTCGAACAGTATGCTGAGAAAAGTTGATGAAAACATATTAAATGGAGATTTGAAGAGACAGCTGTGTACTGGGCAGAACAAGAAATGCAAGGGTCTGCTTCTCCGGATTTACAGTGAGGTAACTCCATTGGCTTCAGCAGGGTTATTCCTGCTGAAATTTGTGTTGTGAGTGGTTAAAAGCAGATTCAGGTCCATCATGACAAGACTATTACACAAAGAAAACATTTGATTTATTGATCTATATGTAGCTACTCCCAGAGACGTATTTGGCACAGTGTTAAAAGCTTGCTTGTAAATCCATTTCTGTAAACACATCCTGACACATATATTCACACTGGCATTTCTGTACGAGTGCTACAATTATCCCCATATATCTGTAGGATCAGGTCCCCAGTTTTGTGAGCATTACAAGATAATAATAATTTATGAATACACCTTACACATCACCAATGTTCTCTGATATCCAAGCATACACATTACTCTTGTTTAAACAAACCAAGAGAAACAGTATCTTCTGCATTTGTTCACAATAAGAACAATGGTATTTTTCTAAAGTTTATTTGAAATAGCTTTGACAATTTAAAAAAATAAAATAAAAATCCTAGCATATCTGTTAACAAGCTAGCTGTCTAAAAATGAGATCTAGATGACCAAAAAAACATTTTGGGCAAAACATATATACATACTGCATGTGATACATAAAACAGCACACAGCAGAAGAAGTAATAAAAATGTGTGCAGAAATGATCACTTTTTTTTTCTTTTTTTTTTCTTTTAAATACTGTTACAAAAGGTGCAGAACTTAGTCCTGCAGCTGATGATGTTTCTGATTCCCTCAGGGACTCATTTCCTCAAGTTCCCCTGATGTTTATATACAGCACAAAAAAGGCTGATGCAAACATTTTCGTACTGCTTAGTTTTAATCCATGTAAACGTGTGGTGTACTCTCGAAACACTCTTTAAACATCTTGAAGGGGAAACAAGTAGGAAAAAAAAAAAAAGGGAAGAAAAAGGCCCTTCAAAAAACAGGAATAATCCTAAGGTTGACAGGAAATCAAATCATGAGTTAAACGTTAATTTTGGCATCAAATGCTTTGGTCACACAATACTGACTCTGTGATCCTGGATGCTTAGCTCTAAACACCCAGTTATGAAAGGTAGGCGTGTTGTAGTTTTTTCCATTTAAGTCCCGACAAACAGTTCACCATATCCCCAGACAAAAAAAGGAAGGAGAGAGAGAGAGAGAGGAGGCATTTTTTTTTTTTTTTCTCCTTTTTCAATAATACGGATTAATCTATAAGTCTACAGGAGCGAGAGGACCCCGGAGGCGTCAGCTCACCCCTTGTGCGTACACGTTCTGCAACACAGTTGCTGAAGCACTTTCCGCTGGCAGAGATTGTTCTTTTTCACCAGCATACAGAATCCGCCCTCGGCCCAAGACTCTTCCGTGGCTTCCGGAGGGCGGCGGGTGGGAAGAGAAGGAGGGGAAGTTGCAGGTTTGGAGAGCATGGTGTGGGCAATGGAGGAGGGTTTAATTGGTCAGACAGGCAGATTTGGTTGAGAAGACCATTCAGGAGCAGGTAGCAAGGAGGAAATTTGGTCCATCAAAAGGAATTTCAGTCAACAGCATTTTTTTTTTTTTTTTCAGGAAGAGGTATTGTGTAGTCCGACAGGGAGTGATTGGTATCCATTTGTGAAAGGGAAAAAAAAGATTAGAAAGAGAATAATTAGAAAACAGTGATATTTACAGCAAAGGATTTTTTTTCTCAGTATTTATGAATCAACAGAATAAAACAGTCAAATCACAGAAAAAGAATAAAACATTCTGAACAGAAACACATATTCTGCAGAACAGGCTACACAGTGCCCTGTTCACAAGCAGTGAAATGAGACCCTCTGTGCCTAAAAACTTACAGAAGAAAAGCCTTATTTTGCCCCACTATCCTATGCTGTGSAGAACACGTGCTATGCGGTGGGCTTCATATGATGCTTGCTTCCCATGGCAATGGGGAGAGCAACAGGGAAAGAGCAGTGAGATGGGGAGCTCTCAGCCTCGGAGCTGTGCAYGGATCCAAGGCACGGACCCCGGCTCATGCGTGGAGAGGTGCTGCTGTGTGCCACAACTTACTGCAAGCTTTCTGTCTTGGAAACACTAACAAACACGTTCAGTTCACAGGCCTTCCTCAGACATCTCAGCTCTGCTCAAGATTATGTAGTTTTGTAAGACATCAGTGAATCCTATTTCTGTGCATTTTGCTCAAGTGCCGCTTCGCAGCAGAATTCAAGCCATCAATAGTATGTACACTGGAGAAAGCACAGAGCATTGGCTTGAATGTGGAAAAAAAAAAGCATTATCTGAAGATTCCAAGATAAAGGTGGGAATTTCAGGCACATTAAATTCCATTGGCTGAGCTGTTTTGCTCTACTACTATTTTTGCTATGCTTCTACATAAATACAGGAATAACTTCCACTCTCAGTGGTATTTCCTCCTCCATAGACTCTTTCAATAGTATGTGTATAGATGAAGATGAATTTATCCCAGCACACTGAGATCAAACCAATGCACTGGAAGTTTGCACTGCAGCATTAACTGCAGTATAATAATGAGACTGTGGTTTCCCAGGGCTTGTAATAGCAAGCTTCCTTTTCACACGTCCGTGTGTGCCTGACCTGCTCTGCACTAGCTCCACAGGACAATGATGCTTTTTTTCCTGATATTCTGATATGAAAAGGTCTCATGATYGGTTTACTTTTATACTGCAGCATGACTTTAAACTGGATAACATAGTTTTCTAATTTAAAAGGCCTAAAATCCTGTAGGAATGGTAAAAAGTCCACAGAAACAAGACTTTACCTTGCTCCGTAAAAAACAAACAAACAAAAAACCTCTGATAAAAACTCTTACCGAATCCTGCTGGAGTGACTTGGACCCAAGGCTCATTGTTACCTTTTACTACATCTGATGTTGGTTGTTTTTCACAGTTTTACATCTGTTTTTGTTTTGGTCTGATTTTACAGTTGGATTGCCACAGTTGGACTGCAGTGAGAYGTAATTCATACAGCAATACTTCTAGGCAAGCATGCCATTTTATATATATATATAAATAAATAAATATATAAATGGCATATATATATATATATAAAGAGTAGTTATGTATCTATATCTATATATATACAAAATACCTTTATATACATATATGTGTGTAGATATATACATAACTGTACTCTTCTGAAGGAATGAATAATGATGAGTAAGTACAACAATCTTATGCAGTATGCAGGTGTCTTGGTTCTRCCACAGACTGGGTTCTCCCTATTCAAAAGTTATTTCTTTTTCTCTTGCTAGCCCTTCACATAATTTAAGTCATACTACAGATAACTAAATGGATTTTAAGTATCAGTATTTTCACAGTTTAAAGTGGCAAAATAGATAAATGCGATTCCATTGACAGTTCTTTTGACAATGCATTAAGATTTTTATTTAAAAACGATTCTTTACAAAGCAAAGGCTTTTGAAGAACAGATAGAGAATGAAAAGAAGCTGCAGGGAGGGACAATTCAGTTAAAGTGCATGTGACTAGTTGTATTAGCACACATTAACTTTTTTTTTTTATAAACCTGAGAATACAAAGAAATAATGTAGAGCTAAGATCAAGCTTGTAAGAAAGGGGAAGAAAGAGACTGAACCACCCCAACACGTGTACCAGAAGAAGCTGGCATTTGCAAAACGCATGTTTTCAGAGGGCTGCACTCACCATCCTTGCAGACTGTTCCCACCACGCAGGCACCAGAGTCCAGGTTGTAGCCGCTGGGGCAGCTCGTGCAGTTTCGATCCCCGTGGCCGCTGCACTCCATGCAGCTGGCGTCACATCTGGAGGGGAGAGACAGATGTTGGCCCTAGGGTGGACACTGAGCACAAACAGGCCTAACACACCACCCGGCCTTACTTGCTGCTCTCAACTCTATCAGCTGGTTTAATTTCAAAAAAAAAAAAAAACCCAAACTCTACCTCAGTCTTCATTCATACTTTTTTTAAACTAATTAATTTGCTGAGTTATTCTGACATTTTGGAAAAAATGCTGAAGTAACCAAGAAAGGTGTGAAATAGATTGTGTACTCATGCATTGACAAGGCACAATCTCAAAACCACAGGGYAGGAAAGACCAACCTGCTGCCCAGTCCTTTCATCACCCTTCAAGCTACGTCAAATCTTTGTGCAATGATTTTTCTTTTTTCTTTCTCTATTTTTTTTTTGAATGGAAAACTGTAACAGTGATTTTCTTCTTGCTCTGAATCCAATGCAAGTCAGAAACAAATGATTCCAAAAGACTTTTGGTATTTGTTTAACAAAGAATAGAATAGAAAACAAGGTCCTCTTTTTTTCGCATAGCACAACCCTGCCCAAGACTTATCTGCCTATTTGTATACTGAGTCAGATGAGCTATTTTAGACAGTCGTCTGATATTATATTTGTGCACGTCTGTTCTGTGCAGCTGAAGAGCTGGAATGGACCTCATGAATAGCAATTGACTTGTTATTAAAAATTGACATTGACAAAGTTTGACATTTTTAGTTTGTTGAGACTCCTTGGCTAGATCTGTAATTTCTACATTTCTTTGCATATTTACACAGATTCTCACTATAGTCTTTCAAAAGTGAAGGAGGCATATATAATTTCAAGAAATAAAACCACTTTAAAAAGATTTGCGTGAATATAATACACATTAAAGTAAGAGGCTCTTTTCCTTTATTTGCTTACCATGCAGTATATTTTCCTATTTTTTTGAAGTCAGCAGGGGTTTTATGATCAAGTAAATGCTACTTATCTTTTTCCTACACAATAATAACTAACATGCTGCAAACATTAAGACACATACATTAGCCAATGAAGAAACTTCCTACCTTTTACAGGTTTTATAACCACTTTCAGTAGAGTGATCAAGGTAATAACCACTACTACAGGATTGCACACATCTTCCATCTTCCATAAAATAGCCCTGTGTGCAGTTTATACAAGAATCTATTCCAGCACCTTAAAAGCAAGAAAATAYACAGTATTACTGGCCAGTTCCCACCATCGCCTAACCCTAGCAAAAGTTTACCACAGTCTTAAGAGGCCACATTTTACTTGTCTTACTTCCTTTTTGCCACTACACGTTGCAAACAGTAACATCAAACAATAAAGATATATGGCTAGAATTATATTACATTACATAATTTCAGTATATCTTTTTCCGAAAGAAATGGATATTGGCAATTCTAAAGCTGCCATAAAATCTATCAATCATTCCTTCTTGCCAGAAAGACAATGGAGGTGTACTTAGAAATTAGGATGAACTCCATTAAAAATAAAGAAATGGTTGTTCATGCACTTTTGACTAGAAAACTTAGATTTTCACRTTAAATGGAAGAAGTTTGTCAAACTTAAAATATATTAAAGAACTACTACGTGAATTAAGATTTTACAGTATGGCAGCAGTTAGGTTGTACTGGAACTATGATATAGTAAAACAAAATCTGAAGTAATAACATATAAGAAACAAAGAGAAACGGATGAATGTCAATAAGTACCTGCACATGTTGCACAAGAACGGTGACAAGGTTCACAATCACTACCACTGTGGTATTTTCCTTCTTCACAGCGGATAGCACATTTGGAGCCATGCAAACTATTGTAAAAAGGAAAAAGGACAGTGCTTGAGCCCTGAGCAGGTAACAGCAACAGAGAACAACAAACTCATTCACAAACCACTATTTTTTAATAAAAGAACAAAAAATCATTATATGGACCAGCTTCCTTCACTGATCATATTCTGTAAATTTAGGGACTGTAATCACTTCCAGTGAAAATGAAATGCAATATTGCCTATCGTGAAGCACAGCAGCCATTTACAGACTCCTAGTAAATACTACCAAGTAGTAAAGGACAGGAAAAAAAAAAAAAAA